GCTAATTATTTCCCACTTGGGTACCCTACCTAAAGCCCCATGTATCATAAGCTTTTCCGTCTGACTGGTAGGAACAGGCACTATTCCAGTTCTTGTATGAATCTTAGACATTGTTCTGTCTAATCCTTTTGGATTGTCCTAGATAATTTCCTTACCTGAATGAGCTGATAAGTAATCAGCTGAATACTAGAGGGTGACTCTGCCTATCTTAGAAGTTCTCTTTCTGTGTAGCTCTCTCCTCTCCAACACTTTGTCCTGTGAACTCTAACTGCCTTCATCTCCCCAGGTGGTCAGCTCCATCTCATCTACTTAAGGAGTCTGCTGGGCTCTGCCTGGATTCTTCCTCCTACACAAGGGCTAGGACTCACTGTCAAAAAATTCACTTGGAGAACTGTAGGCCTCACCTCATTTGTTTCCAGTGTCTCAAGAATCACTGTCCTAGATTGCCAACAAACACATGAAAAGATGCTCAACATCACTAATCATTAGAGAAAGGCAAATCAAAACTACAATGAGATATCACCTCACACCAGTCAGAATGACTATCATCAAAAAATATACAAACAACAAATGCTGGAGAGGGTGTGGAGAAAAGGGAACCCTCTTGCACTGTTGGTGAGAATGTAAATTGATACAGCCACTATGGAGAACAGTATGGAGGTTCCTTAAAAAACTACAAATAGAACTACCATCCACCCAGCAATCCCACTACTGTACATATACCCTGAGAAAACCATAATTCAAAAAGAGTCATGTACCACAATGTTCATTGCAGCACTACTTACAATAGCTAGGACATGGAAGCAACCTAAGTGTCCACTGACAGATGAATAGATAAAGAAGATGTGACACATATATACAATGGACTATTACTCAGCCATAAAAAGAAACGAAATTGAGTTATTTGTAGTGAAGTGGATGGACCTAGAGACTGTCATACAGAGTGAAGTAAGTCAGAAAGAGAAAAATAAATACCGTATGCTAACACATATATATGGAATCTTAAAAAGAAAACAAACAAAGGTTCTGAAGGACCTAGGGGCAGGACAGGAATACAGACGCAGACTTAGAGAATGGACTTGAGGACACGAGGATTGGGAAGCGTAAGCTGGGATGAAGTGAGAGAGTGGCATGGACATACATACACTACCAAATGTAAAATAGATAGCTAGTGGAAAGCAGCTGCATAGCACAGGGAGATCAGCTCGGTGCTTTGTGACCACCTAGAGGGGTGGGATAGGGAGGGTGGGAGGGAGATGCAAGAGGGAGGAGATATGGGATATATGTATATGTATAGCTGATTCACTTTGTTATACAGCAGAAACGAACACACCATTGTAAAGCAATTATACTTCAATAAAGATGTTAAAAAAAAAATCATTGTCCTTTATTGCCTGATATACAATGCCTTTAAAACTATTACCTCATGCATTTTGTTTTTGATCTGGTTGAGTCAGGTGTGAAGGTAAATCTAGTTACTGTAACTCCATCTTTTCCAGAAGCAAAGTCTCAGAGGAACTATTGAAATGGCTTCATAACTGGTTTCCCTACTTCTAGGTTTGTTCTTCTAATTTTATGGTGAGCTTCCTACTTTAAATCTTTTGCTAACTCCAAACTGTCAATCAGCAGTGCCCAAATTCTGTCTTTAGACAATGGTCAACTCTGTGGTGAAGTTCTCACCAGAAAAAAAGAGAAAAATAAGAATAGTGTATCAAGTTTTAAAAACCATTTACTGTGAAATATAACATCAGAAATCTTCAGGATGTATAAAAACAATTATACAGTTCAGTAAATTATCACTAAGTAACAATCCATTTAACATCACCAAATTAAGAAATAGAAAATTTCCAGCTCTCCAGAAACCCTACACAGGTCCCTTCCAAGCCACATATATATATATATAGGTACTGTGTTTTATCTTGCTTATTTTTTTCAATAACTGCTTATAGTTAGCCGAAGTTAACTATACATTGAGATATATGGTGGACTGCAGTTGGAACCTCACTGAAATGAGGTAATCAGTGTGACCTTCCTAAGGAAGTTCTGTTTAAATTGAGTCATAAAGAATAAGTAGGAGGTATCCATTTAAGGAGGAAAGGAAGAGAGGTAACTTGAGAAAAAATGTGTTTTTTCCAGGCAGAAGTTACTTTTGGCTAACCTAAACTACCAAACACACACACACACAAACACACACACACACACACACACACACACACACACACACACACACACA